ATTCAAATTGTCATATTCTCAGTGAAGGTTCAACGGATTTTTTAAATTTCAAATGTTTTGCAAAGTAAATTTAGTGGATTTTTTAAAATGTGGACTTTTAAAATTATCTGACTTTTTTTTAAATTGCCGATCACTTGGAGGTAGAGGTCATTGTAAAAATATACACATGAAGTGATATATTTTGAAGATAGACATGTTTATATCACGAGATCCCAATCATATAGGATGTTGCTTTATTCTGCAAAGATGTTCAGAAATACAAGGTTTTTAAAACTATGGGTAGTTGATGATGACAAAATTTACTCACTAGATGGCTCTAAAACGAAAATGATCGAGTTGCTTCTTCTAAATACACACTATATAACGGTATCTACAGATTCTGATGGTTCCCGTCTTGAGGAAAGTTGTTCAGATGGACAATACCTATCGTAAGGAAAAGAGTTTAGTTCAGAACTCACTCTCCAGGCAGCGCTAGTGTGATATTCATTTTGAATTCTTTGCCGTACTATAGATAGTAGGTTCCCGTCTTGGGACAAGTTATTCAGATGGACAAGACCTATTTTATGGTAAAGAGTTTAGCTCAGCATTCACTCACCAGGCGGCGCTAGTGGGACATTAATGTTGAATTGTGTGCCCTAACCTAACATACCGTATGCGTGATAATGTTTGCACCATTAAGCAATGTCAAAATTAAAAAAATTCTCAAAAATTTCGTTTTCAAGTTTTTTGATTTATTCGAAGGGGGGATGTTTCTCAGAGTCCTAAACTATGTTAATCATCGATCGTGTTTCCACTTGCTGCAATTACGGCCTCCACACTCTTCCGGAATGCACGGCAGATTCTAATAATGTAGCCTGGATCCATTTCTCTCCAGGTACGGGTCAATGTTTGTCTGAGGCTTGCTGCACTCGGGTGGCGTTTAAGACAGGCCTTGGCCTTCATGACGCGCCATATTGAGTAATCCAGCGGATTAAGATCGGGGTTGGATGGCGGCCACATAACCTTCGCCCAGAACGGAAGATGTTCCTGCAACCACTTCTGAGTGCGGTTCGAGGTGTGGCACGGAGCTCAATCTTGTGGAAATACAACATTTGGCTTCGGACCGTACTGTTCTTTGATCCACGGAAGAACATACTTACTTAAAATCCCGATGTAGACCTCCGTGTTGACCTTGTCGTCTTCTGGAATGAACAAAGGGTCCATTTTTTTGCCATCGGAAGCCACCAATCCAAACACCATAACGCTAGCAGGATGCTTGGTCAGATACACGTTCATTTGCTCGTCGGCCACGTCTTTTACCGGAAGAGAAGTAATATACCGGTCGGTTATGGAATTTGATTCGGGATCGACGGTAAACATGCTCTCTTCGGTGAACAGGATTTCCGGATTTTTCGCTTAAGGAAGTTCAAGATTTTCTTGCATCGTTCGACTCGTAGCTGCCGGATGCGGTTGGTAATCATGTGAGTTTTTTTCCGTACCCTCGACTTCGCCCTGCAATCTTCCTTTACGATCTTTCGTACCGTAAAGTCACTGATCCCGTGTTCCTTTGCCATTTTCCTTATTCAACGCACTGATTCACCCGAATCTTCCTTTTGATAGCAGCGATAACCCTCGGAACCCGAGCTGACCTCGGACGACCTGTGGCCACCTTCGCGGATAGTTGTCCTTTCTTTACTCGGTCTAAAACCCTTTTGACGATCCACCGGGACACTCCCACGATGATTGAAATGTCTTTTTGCGACATTTGCGCGTGGGACAAATCACGAATACGCTGCCACTTCGTCATGGTGCAACTGTCAAACTAAGTAAATCATTTTTTTTATATACACAGTATGAGCTATAGTTACGTGCATGCAAAGAAAACCAAGGCATTGTATGCACAGTTGAAACGGGAACCTTATTTGTACGATGGTGCAAACATTATTACGCATACGGTATGTACTAGATATAAAGCTCTCGTCTTCGGTGAAGTTGTTCAGATGGACAAGACTTATCCTATGGTAGTGATTTTATTTCAGAATCCACACAGCAGTTGGCGCTAGTGTGACATTCATTTTGAATTAATAATTTTGTCAAGCTTCTGCATCGATCAGATGTCACTGCTGTTGTTTGCGGTGACATCTATCGGAAACTACACACAATCTGTGTTCCGTTAATTGTTCACAGAGGACACTGCAGTGCAAAACATGTCTGGTACCTCTATATATGCATTTAGATTAACATTCGAAGTCCCTCCTTTTTTTACACATTCTGGGGCCTCCCTTAGCTCAGTCGGTAAAGGCGCAGCTACAAAGCAAGACCATGCTGGAGGTGGCTGGGTTCAATTCCCGGTCCGGTCTAGGAATTTTTCGGGTTGGAAAATGTCTCGACTTCCCTGGGCATAGAAGTATGATTGGACTTGCCACACAATTATATCAATGCAAAAATGGTACAGGCATCGAAAGCTCTCAATTAATAACTGTGGAAGTGCATCTAGAACACTAAGTTGAGAGCACGCAATAAGCTAATATGCGATATGCAATTAGCTTGAAATGCGAAGAAGAAGAAGAAGAAGAAGCACACAAAATAGCTCACCCCTCACAGAATTTCCCGCCGATTTTTAAGAATGGGGTGGGGCAGAAAGTATCTTTTGTGCAGAATATGTAAAAAAGGAGGGACTTCGAATGCTAATCTTAATGCATACAATAAAGCGGTACCAGACATGTTGTGTAGTGCTAGGTACTCTATTTTGTAATCTGTGAAAGGGAAATCACAAATCGAGTGTCATCAAAATACATGGCGTGTTGAGAGATTGAGGTCGTGAGAGCAAATTTTCTCTCTCAAATTTGAATTTTTTGGCTCTCTGAGGACAAGAAGTAAAGCAGGTAAAACTGTATGGGGAAAAATCATTTTTATTTAATTGTAGCTTGTTTAACAATAATTTCCGTTTGCCCTTAATTAACATCTTGACTAGATAGAAGGTTCCTGTCTTTGACAAAGTGAACAAGAACTATTTTATGGTAAAGAGTTTAGCTCAAAATGAACTCACCAGGTGGTGCTATTGTGACATTGAATTTGCATTGTTTGCCCTAACTTAACATATGGACTAGATAGAAGGTTCCTGTCTTGGGTAAAGTTGTTCAGATGAACAAGACCTATCCTATTGTAAAGAGTTTAGTTCATAATTCACTCACCAGGCAGCGCTAGTGTGACATTCATTTTGAATTGTTTGTCCTTACTTAATATATGAGCTGGATAAAAGATTTCCGTCTTCGGCAAATTTGTTCAGATGAACAAGACCTACTTTGGTTTTTTATTACGCCGCTGCTTGGTCTTTAAAAGAATGGAAAAATTACCGGGAATTGAACCTTGCTGCTTCCAGCATGATCTTGCTTTATATCTGCGCCTTAACCGACTGTGCTACGAGATCTTCCCATGAACAAGACTTATTTTATGGTAGAGACTTCAGCTCATAATTCACTCACCAGGCGGCGCTAGTGTGAAATCCATTTTAATCATTTTCTACAACCAGTGTTTGTATCAGTACAGTACATTTGAAAATTTAACATTTTTTATCGGCACCTACCACAAACCAAAACAAACAAAACTGTAGCGTGGCATTAGTTGGAATGTTGCTGTTTCCTGAATAATTTCCGCATATATTTGAAGTTAATAGTATGGAGTCAATAAAAGCAAAAAATATGAACAAAGTGACACTCTGGCGATCCTTCAGGAGTAAACTAGAATGATTACCATATAACTGTTTTAGATGATCTTAAAAACTTGGCCGACAGTGGAAACCTTCTATCGAGGCAAGCGTCAGGTGAAACCAAAAAACTCGAAACAACGTGAAGCAACAGTGCGAACTGATGATTAAATTCTGCGCTAAACTGTTTACTATCGAATAGGTCTAGTATATCTGAACAACTTTACCGAAGACAGAAGCCTTCAATCTAGTCCAGATGTTAAGTTAAGACAAACAATTCAGTATGAATGCCACACGAGCGCCACCTGGTGAGTAAATTCTGTTTCGACCTTTTAAACAAAATAGGTCTTATCCATCTGAACAACTTTTCTGAAGACGGAAAACTTCTATCTAGTCCATCAGTAGGCAAACAATTTAAAATGAATGTCACACTAGTCTGAGATAGCCTTGGAAATTTTTTGGAAGTCGTCACCATCATTAATTGATCGTGTGTAAATTTTCACGAAAATTCAAGTAAAATTACGTAAATATCGAGTAATCAAGATCGCGAACTTTGTAAGTTTGAACTTTTTCACTGATGGCCACACCAAGCGCTCTGACTCACCAATCCATTAATGATAATTACCGCATCTGTCCTAACTCAAGTGCGTGTGATACTGAAATTGCAACTGTTTTTTTACATAAATGTAATCAACTACACCTACTACAGTCAAACCACGACGGCTGCCCACTGATAAGAGTTACCTTATCTAACCACAAATAGAAAACCGTCACTTCCATAAATGCCATCCCCCATTATTGCCGCAAGCCATTCACCCAACAAAAGCGGGTGCAATCTCTGCAGGATCCAGCCACCCCACAACACACAATGAGATGTGGCCCACCACTGCGTGAAGTATTGTGAATTTAATTAAAAACTTTAATCAAACTTGCTGCACATATCCGGTGTATATGATCCACTGTTGCTCCATGCACCCCCCCCCCTCCCTTCCCCCATTCCACCCCATATGCGGTCAATCGGTGGTAGGCACAATTCAAAATGCAAATATTTGCCAGCTGACAAAGCACTTTGCCTATAGTGCCATGAAAAGCTTAGATAGAGCTGCAGCAGTTTGAATGCGTGCTCTCGCGCTCGAACGGACCAACAACATCCGCACTGCATAATTTTATCAATTTGTATTCCAAATTAGTGGGTTGTGTGCAATCTGTTTGCTTGCACGCCAATAACGAATATGCAAACTTCTGTTTCGCAGGCAAATCAAGTGACCCGGATAGTAATTCAATTCTATGTCCGATTTTCTTTTTTTTTCCGCAGATCTTCGACGGGTTCTATCACTTCGAGCACCGGCACGTGCAGAAGCGATCCCTAAATCCTTCGGCGCATCACCAACGGCGGTTGGACGGGGATGATCGGGTACGATGGGCGAAACAGCAACGCGCCAAACGGCGCCAGAAGCGAGATTTTCGACCGCTGAAAAGCCCCTACACGATACAGCTGAACGATCCCAAGTGGCCCGAGATGTGGTACCTGGTGAGTCAAGACCGTTCCATGTCGTTTGCTATTTGGCAATCGGATGGAAGCGTTAATTGGTTTCTGTTTTGCTTCTTGTTTTTCGTTTTCTAGAATCGAGGAAATGGCCTAGACATGAATGTGATACCAGCCTGGAAGGAGGGAGTGACGGGGAAGGGCGTAGTGGTTACGATCCTGGATGATGGTCTGGAGTCCGACCATCCCGACCTGGAGCATAATTACGTAAGTAGAATTGATCGTTTTTGTTGAAGGTCTTAAGAATACGGCAACCAATACGAACTTCTACGATGTCCCATCAACTTCTTCCGATTTCCATAATTATTTTTGTCAAGTTATCTCAATTTTACCAAGATGTCAGAACGTTTATGACCACCTCCAAACTTCAGGAAAGACCTTGAGCTCTCTCTAAGAATTTTCCTAAGCATGCAGTAAAATCTCAAATCAAACCTTGAAGTTCAAAATTATCTGAACTACTACAAAGTTCGCTGCGCTTCTACAATTTCGGCAGAACTTCTACAAAGTAGCTTGAATTTTGAAAAATCCCAAATCTTTTATGAAGTTTTATGAAGTTCCTTGAATTGTTTGCTTGGCTTCTACAAAGTTTTCTGAATTCATTAAGTAGTGAAGCGAACTTAAGTTGTACTGTTCCCCGATTTTTTTAGAATTTCGTTGATTTTCTTCGACGTTCATTGAAGATCTAGAAAGTTTCTTCTATGGAATTTCCTGAACTATTTTAACTTCATTAAACTTTAACGAAGTACCCTGAAGCTAAAAGAACTTTTCTTGAGTTTCTTAAAATTAAACTGCGTCGAAGGTTCTCAATTCTACAAAGTTTTTCCGATTTTTTATAAAGCATTCTGAATTTCTTCTAAATTATATGAAGCTCTATGAAGTTTCCCGAATTTGTATTAAATTTCCTAAATGTCTACGATGTTCCCTGAACAAAATCCTTGATGTTTAAAAAAAGTCTAATAAAGGTAAAGAAAAATCCCTGAGCTTCAACGAATTCACAAAATTTAAACAATGTTTGATGAAGTTCTACAAAGTTCTTCAAACTTCAAACAAAAACATGCTAAAGTCAGTCTAGTCTAGTTTAGAACAGTCTAGAGAGTTCCCCAAATTCATTTAATTTCTTTAAAGTTCGCAAATTTTCAACAACGTTTGAAGAAATTCTACATAGTTCTCTGAACTTTATAAAACATTCTGAAGTTAGTCTAATTTAGTCTAGTCTTAATTGACACACACAACCAGTACCCGACTGTAAAACTTGCTGAAGTTAGTTCTACCAAATTCTCTGAAGTTCTATTAATTTCACTGAGTTTCTACAAAGCTTGCTGAGCTTTTACAAAAAAAAAAGTTGAACTTCTATAAAAATTGCTGCATTTCTAGAAGGTTTCCTGAACTTCTACGCAGTTCAATTAATGTCTACAAAGCTTTCGAAAGTTCTTCTATATTCGTTGCAATTCTATCAAGTCCCTTGAACTTGTCCAATGTTCCCTGTACTTTTAAGAAGTTTTTCGAGCTTCCATGAAATTTTCTGAAATCATGTCAGAGAAAATACAATATAGGGGAAATGGATGTAATGTCGGCCTAAATACTCCTAATTTGGGCCCGTACATAAATTCAGCAATAGACTAAATTTTCAATAGCGACCAAAAATATCCATTAGTACCGTTCCGTCTGTCTGTCTGTCTGTCTGTCTGTCTGTCTGTCTGTCTGTCTGTCTGTCTGTCTGTCTGTCTGTCTGTCTGTCTGTCTGTCTGTCTGTCTGTCTGTCTGTCTGTCTGTCTGTCTGTCTGTCTGTCTGTCTGTCTGTCTGTCTGTCTGTCTGTCTGTCTGTCTGTCTGTCTGTCTGTCTGTCTGTCTGTCTGTCTGTCTGTCTGTCTGTCTGTCTGTCTGTCTGTCTGTCTGTCTGTCTGTCTGTCTGTCTGTCTGTCTGTCTGTCTGTCTGTCTGTCTGTCTGTCTGTCTGTCTGTCTGTCTGTCTGTCTGTCTGTCTGTCTGTCTGTCTGTCTGTCTGTCTGTCTGTCTGTCCTGAGGGTTGATAAAACAAATTTCCGTAGACACTAGACGTTGTTATTAGTTGCAAAATATAACCTCCAAATGGGTATGTGCGTCTCTTAATAGAAGTTGCGTCTGACATAGATCCTTTGGGCGCATTGGAGCGGATTTTAATAAATTCAAGACTGGTAAAGAGTTCAGAGAAAAAGATGATTTTTTTCTGATCAATTGTAGTTCTTGTACCTCATTGTGTTCTTAACAGCCTGACTAGCTCAGAGAATAAACTAAATGAGTATTTACGATAATGGCCTTAGAGTGGCTTTATTCAGTATTTTAGGTCTTCATTGTAAATTTGTTTAGCTTGGAAAATTATCTTCTCAGTTAAGTTTTAGTATTGCAATTGCGGTGAAATTAAGCTATTGAATTTTGCAGGTGAAAGCGTTGTTTTTACGATTTCCCACCCTAGGAATCTGGCCGTGAATTAGCATTTTGTTGAGGGTATTATTCGGAATAATTTTCTTGTGGAGTCTCAAATTGTACTCAAGGGAAAAAATATAAAGGGTTTTAAACACAAGTGTTTCATATGCAAGCTGTTGGAGAACTGCGTAAATTTTTGCCCCTAGCGCTGATTGATTTTTTTATGAAGTTCAACAAAGGAAAAGTTCGCGAGTCATACGGAGTTTTGGAGAATATTTTCAACACTGCTTCTAAGGGTGAGAAAATCGCCATGCCATATCTCATATCATGAAGTTAATTGAGCAAATTTGCTGCAAACTTTAAGCGATTTAGCAAGCCTTGTTTGTAGATTGATATCGATATGGTTGCAGTTTCCATCACACATCACTATTAATCATGAATTGAACTGATTCCCTGGTGCTTACAATTTTATAATTTAGAAAAATGCGGTGCCTTCCCGTTTTTGGCAACACGCGATTTCGGTCTTTTTTGCATACTATAAAATTTATCGAACGCTTTATTCAATTTGAGATTGTACTGGCCAACTCTTCATGGTTTAGAGGTCCATGTGGTATTCCATGAAAAAATGTCCAGAAAGCACTACCCAACTAATAATTTTGGCTGCAGACTAGCTAATACAGCCAAAAATTGCCTTATGCAGCGAATTTTTGCCTGTATAGGCTGGTCTGCAGCTAGAATTGTTTTTTGGGTCGTACATATCTGAGGAAAGTAATAGCTGACGAGGTCGTTGATGCGTGTATCTCTTAGCGGAAATGAATATTCACTGTAATTATTTTTGAGAGACATTGTGTACTACCGCAAACTACTATATTAGAAATAATTTCAGTGTTTATTCACTTCCGCTAAGAGATACATCTACCGTTTCAACTTCCCCACGCGTTTCAACTTGCCCTGGTGTAGGGTAATGGATTTTAAACAACGCACTGCGTCTAAATGTATGCCTCGTTTTTCCTATGCATATATGGACATGAAAAATGTGTGTTTGGTGAAAAAGTTTACCTTTCTAGTTTCTAATAATTATTCTTTATGTTCTCTAATAGGATTTTATTGAACGTTTTTATTCAGCAATGAATTTGACTCATGGTTGGACCTAAAAATGCATCATGGTTGGAGCTATTATATAAAGTACCATTTGTATGCCTTAGAGCCCGCAGGACCGAGTATCATAAACCAATCAACAGCCGCTAAATGAAAGGTGTTATGGTCACGTATAGCACATATTTTTTGGAATCGGTTTTGTATAGATAATTTCCGCGTTTCGGTCTAGTTGAACCCAGTCCCCTTGGGATATCTCGAGGGTTGTCAAGGTGATCACTAGCACATGCTGGTAGACTCTGATGCCCTGCTTACATTATGCTGACTATTTTTTACACAGTGCTAGTACACTAGCGCTAGCAAATCCGCATAGATGTAAACACCACATTAACCGCTGACTTGCTCCTGCTTGCTGCAGGACACAATGCCACGCCATCCGAAGCGGTAATGAGCAGTGGCACGACAGCAGCGCCTTTTTATATCTTTTTAGCTTCAAACAGAACGATGTGCAACCAAATGGTACTCGATTATGATGACTGGCTTTGGGGAAAACGTTTACTTCAGAAGACATTGATAAAATTATCATTTGCACATTTTTCAAAAGTGTTTTATAGAAAATTTGAAAACTATTTAATTCAGCAGATTGGTAAAGCAATTTCCTATCGATTGGCGTATTTGGATTTTAATTTCACCTATAGACGACAAAGTTATAAACGTTCAAAACCTAACACTATTTCACCATACAAATTGTTTGATTTGCACCCCAGTATAGTCGACAAAGACGTAGTTCTACGTCAAACAACTTCGATTGGTACTTGATGTTCACTTCAAACAAAAACCCAGCCACTATGCAACTCCGACAAAATACTTCTCGATTTTTAATGATTTATGTAAAAATATCCGGTGCTTTGATTTCTTACTTTTAATGTATGGCATCCGGAGCAGATAAAGGTACTCGCGACCAAGCTCCAATTAACTAGAAAATTTGCCAATTTTACACTGCCATTTCAATGGCTAACCAATTAGTTTCTGTTGATAATAGCACCCACCTTTCTACACCGGCATCAACACGTGCCATGCGTTGGACTAGCAGATACAATATTGATCGAGTGTACGCAACTAATTGAAACATTATCGGATAATTATGTTCGAAAAATACCCTGCTTCCCTCATGTTTCGGCCAGCTCCGTGTGCGTTTATGCAACCGTAGAATAATTTCGATCATAAGCCACCATCTCACGCGTTTCTGCATCACTGCTGCCAGCGGGTATGATAAATTATTTCCAAAATAGTTTCCTCATCCAGAGCCGCGAACAGTGAGCAGTAGCTAAATTGTAAATCGGGCACTAAAATAGAACACCTTTAATCGGCACAGAGCTCGATGTAACTCCAGTTTGTGTGATAATTGAGTAACACTCCCATGGGAGAAAAAGAGATAGCAATACAATTTTACACAGCCACTGAGTTTGATTGAACGGCCGTGAATCAATATTGGATTTTGAACCCCCGTGCTGTGAATTTCATCGTAAAATGTAATTTTGATGCGATTTTCCAGTCAAGGCTTGTCATGCTCTTGTGCGTATCGGATCGAACTAGTGTAGCTTTCTCGGAATAGGATTTCGTCAAACGAATGGAACAATTGTTTGTCGGTGACTGAGTCGGAAATTTCGGTAAATTAATTCGGAATTTATTGACCAAATCCGAGTTTAA